TAATAATTTTTTGCATCATGAAAGACATAAGATAATACAACTAGTCATGCCACATAATAAAAGTACTTAAATTAGTAAACTTCTAGTTTATTATAATATTTATTTCAATCATGTCAATATTTGCAATAAAGAATAGAAGAGAAAGCGAGATAAATTTTTCAATACATATATTTTACCCAAGTATAATGATTATAATATATAAGTATTCACACTTGCTATCTTGATATGATATCAATTTAGATGAATATCTTTGAAACTAAATAAATTTTTATGAGACTTTGAAGAGAATAGTACATCATCTATAATAAATTTATCCTTTCGGATAATAATACATTTGCTCTTCCGGAGCCTTTAAATCATGTCACTTCAAGTAATAATATATCGACTCTTCTAGAGCCTTTAAAAGTTATCTCTTCAAGTAATAATATATTCACTCTTCTAGAGCTTAAAAAATTTGTCTCTTCAAGTCATAATATAATCGCTCTTCTAGAGCCTTCAAAATTTATCTCTTTAGATAATAATATAGTCGCTTCTTCTAGAACTTTCTATTAGATTGATATTATATATATAATATTAACATAAAATAAATAATTAAATAAATCAATATAAAATAAATAAATAAATATATTCCTCATAAACACAAACAAATAAATAAATAGTAAAATAAATTTGTAACTATCACTATACAATATAAATTAAAAGAAATATAAAAAATTTTATTTATAAATATAAAAACTAACAAGTAATTAATTTCAATTACTATTATTTTGATATATAAAAGTGACCTTTATATTTTACTATTTATTTTTCAATAAGGCTTGACAAGGCTCAATGAAGTGCTTTGGTGTACGACAGGTACACGATCAATATTCATTCATTCCACATCTATAATATTTATTTGTTAGAATACCGACTTTCTCTATTTTTTTTTATATAGTTATCCACTTACGGTGGTGAGATGTGATATTATGGTCACCACAATTATAATGATAATTATTTCGATTACGTTCATGGCTATGACAACATATTTGTTGATGCCCAAAATTATTATAAATTGTCACATTTACTTCGGGGAATGGAGTAAATCCAGTTGGATAAGATTTATTCTTTTTTCGTCAATAGCTTATCATTTTATTTAGCCAACATAAATAAGTATGAAATTGATTCAAAATATTTCTTAAACTCTTTTTCTTGATATGCTACTGCAGGAGCATATTCGAGACATAAAAAGTAGATAATATTAACTTAGCATCAAACGCTCATGATCAATAATTCTTGCCCAAAATGTCAAGGACTCGCAAAATCAAGTTTTGTGATGATTGATATGATTAAAATTGTATATTGTAAAATATAATAATAATGTTAGGAAATAAAGATAAAATAATAATAAAATTTAAATAAAACAAACATAATAATAAAATTTAGACTTTTCAAATAATATATATTAGATTATTAGGTTCTATATATTAAATTATTAAAAATTTTCAAATGTATTCTATGTATCATTAGATTTAAAGTACATGATAAATTAGATACATACCTCTTAATGATCTAAATAATTTAGATCTTTTGGTAGAGCACTTGTGTAGAAGAAATCCAATGGTTGAAACAATTGATTAAATTTTTTGATAGATACATACCTCATGGTCTATTATCTTGATTGGTTAGAACTTCGTACCGATAACGTGTTATAAAATAAATAAAAATAATAGAAGAATTGAAGGAAAGGATGACAAGAAAATGAAATCATTATAATGTGAATACAAGTGATAAGAACTTTAAATTTTCTCTTATTTTCTCTAAAAAAACTTATATACCAACTAATGAACAATCAAGCCAAATTTATAGGCTTCAAATTTAAGAAGAGAATTGGAAGGGACTATGAATAATCAATTGCATTACTCTTTTAATTTCTCATATTGAATGATGAATTCAATCATATTAAGAATCATGAGTAATGAGGATATGAAAAGTAGATGAAAATGATGATGGACATTCATTATTTCATAACAATTCAAGGTTTTTTTTTTAGGGGAAATAACAAACAAAACCATCATCGTGGTTGTACATAGAACATTCAAACTGAGATTACATACATAGCTATTGGGTCATTGGTTTGGCTGTCCAGAACATAAGCCCTCGGCCTACCCTATATTTTCTTCTGGTTCTTGGTGGGAATTAAAATTTCCTTTTTTTTTTTTTTCCTTAAAAATTAATCCTGATTTTTTCATCTTTATTTTTAGAAAAAAAAAATTTTGAAAAAAAAAACTATCATTACACTTTCCACTAAATAAATAATTCTCCACTTGCACTATTAATTAACTCAAAGTGTTGTTTGCGAGCCTTGTTATTTTTCGTACAAGTTAACAGACAATATCAAGAGATAAGGTAGTCCTGAATGCGATATGTTTTTTTAGTACAAATTGATAGACAATATCAAGAGACACGGTAGTAGGTAAGGAATAGGTAATAGGTCCTATCAAGTGTGATTTTTAAAACATATATCAAGAGACACGGTAGTAGGTAAGGAATTATTGAATAAAGAAAACCGTGTAATTACTCAAGGAACCCAGCAAGCTGTTCTCTACTCCACCAAAGAGGACCCAAAGTTTCAAGAGATTTCTTTGAATTTGCTGTTTCCATATATATTATCTTTGAACTACTTGTTTGCTAGCTCATCTCATCTTGTACTATCCAGTTTTAAATAGGGAAAATAATTTGTCGAGTTCTGATATGTTTAATTAATTAAACCTCAGCTCTCCCATTTCAAGATTCCAAGCTTCCCCCACACAACTCCTGCCAAATGCCAACAATCACTCTTCTTGAATGCATCCCTGGACAAATTCTACATTTACATTTCAATAACCTTAGGCAAATATTAACCCTTGAACTCTTATCTGCCCATTGCAAACTTCTTTCCTATCATTAAATGTATTGGATCTAAAGGGATGGAGAAGAAGTTGAATGAATTGCAGATGAAGAGAGATGGTTTTATGCAGAATTGCGGAAGAGCATAGTAAAAGATCAGAGATTGATGGTTCTTTCAGAGGGGCAGGAAGGAAGGAAGAAATACAAAAGTGATGACTGCATCACTAAAGACGAAATATTCACACATCTAAAGAAAAACTGGGCCACAGTTTAAGAGGCAAGGAAAGTTGGTAAGCCCAAAAATACAGTCCTCATTTTCAATAAAGGAAGACTAGGCCCAGAAAGATTTGTATTCGACATACCCAACCCCTAGAAAAATCTAAAACCCCTTTGAAATGTCAAATATAGGCCTTGAACTATTGGGCTGAAAGCCCGGTTAGCAATCCAAAATCAGTTTTCTTGGATAAAGAAACTGAAATGTTTTGTCGGGATTTCTTAGTTTTCCCGTACTAGGTCAATTAGTAATATGTAGTGAGATTATTCTCAATTTTCGGAAGTTCCAGATTAAATATGAAGCCTTTTTTAGTCCATGGTGGTCGAGCTTTCAATATAAAGGTTCACATTACCATTATTAACATTCAATTTAAATCAGTATAAAATGGAAAAAAAAAAAAAAAACAAATTAGAAAAAATTATAAAATGGACAAAAAAAACCTAAGCCCCCAGTCTACCGAATTAGCAGATTCTAATTGATTTTTTTTTTAAAAAAAAAACATTCAATTCATGTTTTTTAACTTTCCATTAATGATTCTATTTTATTTAGGGATGACTACAAATAAGCCCCCAATCTATTATGTGTTTCACAAATATAGTCCCCAATATATTGGTTTTATTTTTTTGAGAACATGCTCAATCTATTCTAGTTTTAACAGACTAGTCACTACCATTTGCATATGCTAAAACAATGTAAAATACCTTGTGAGAAGCATGTGAACTCAACAAAATTAACTCACTCTCATGAATCAAGAGATAGTAACGTTGAGTTTACGAAATACTTAACGTTTGTTTAAACATATTTGTTAAAATCAGAATAGGTTAAATGTGTTTTTGAAAAATCAATAGGTTAGGGATTCGTTTGTAAAACACATAATAGGTTGCGAACTTATTTGTATTTATCCCTTTTATTTTTCATGTAATAATTCTTTTATTTTTAAGAACAAAGAATGCCATCGAATCTGGAATCAGATTCAATTTAGTGGTAAAAATATGATTATTTTTCTGTTTTATACTTTATGTTCGTGTTTGCAATGTAACTAAATGATAAGTAATCATTGCACTCAAAATCTTTAAGAACTTATTTTGAATTAACATTTGATAGATAATCCATCGTTCTATTCTACAATATACCTTCTAATGAAGGCCCTTAATTTTTTTTTTAATATCTTTATTAGGCATTATTGTTGAACATTTCTTCATCACACTAGAGTCACTTGGAAGCATTATGTCGTAGCCCAAGTAATGCAAAACATTTCGACACTGCCTCTATAAAAAGTAATGCTTCGGCTTCTGCTTCTGTAAAAGAATGTGGCCAGAACGCTGAAAGTTGCCAGAATTTTCAACCGATTAGCAAATTTAGGTTAAATTGTTATTAGGAGAAATGAAGAATAAACAACCACCAAACAAGTGCACACCATGTTTTAAGTGGTTCGGTATTAAAAAACCTAATCCACGGGCGAGGACAATCAAAGAATTTCACTATGAGAAAATGGCAGGAGACTACAGAAGGTCACTCAAATTTCTCTCACCCAAATCCCATATGAACCCAGAACCTCACTCAAGAGTTCATCACAAATCTCACAGTATACTATATGCCTTCCATATCCAAAGAACTGCACCCTATATACAGTCCACGAATGTTGCCTTTTAGGACCAAAGACAATTGCCATGTGGAAACTTTTCTTTCTCTGAAAAACTGTACCAACCAATGTCAACTTTCACTTTTTCTTCATGCATTTGATAGTTGCAGCTTTCCTTGGTTCCTAGGATGCATCTAGGTGTTCAGGACTCACGTAGAAGCAAACCAAGTGTCAAGGCCACAGACTTCAAACATTTAACGGAGTGTTCGACAAAATTCAGGATGCACTTTTCAACACTGAAAGTGCAACAATCTTCCCAATGATGACCAATGTTGGTGAAACTAACTCTGCTAATGCAACTTTATCTGCAGGATCCTTCAGTTCTGAAAATACCTGTATGATTGCAAATGCAAATATTATCAATTCAAAGCAATGCGGTCACTTCTAATGGGCAAGCTTCTTATGCATGTATAGATCCTTGTAAAAAATGAAGTAACATCAAAATCAATCCATTCTATTCTTTTTACAAACTATGTGAAGGAAACGAAAATTGGTGTTTCAGTTTCGTTTCTGGTTTCCTGCAAGGTGCTTCCAATTCATGATTATCAAATTATACTCACCAAGTGCTGCTGGGGTGTAGTTCCTCGTTCAAGCAGCTGGCATATTTGCTCATAGACCATTTTGCATTAACTTCAATGCAAGGGAGTTGAGGGTTGACATTTGACACGCTAGCCCATATAAACTAGCAAGGTTGAATCAGGATCAGCTGTATTTTCTGCTACAAAGAGGGCATCTGTTCCTCCTTCCATTAAATTTCTTGTTCGAAATCTAACAGTCTGGCTGTACCTCGGTGAGGAAATGGAATCTCCAGCTCTGCTGCAACCAATCACACTGTCATCCACACTGTGACCAGAAAAGCATCGAGCTTGAATAAGAACTGCAAAATTGGCAACAAACGGCAAAAAGAATGCAACCTTATTCTATCAGAAGATGTGAAGAATCATCCCAGTAATAACATTAACTTGAATTCTTTGTTGTCGAAGAAAATCAATTTCCTCATCACCCCTTGCAAATACCTTTGGAGCACAATGATATATGTCACCAAAAACTCAACTTGGAAGTACATTATTGCATTCATTAGCTAACTTTTTAAATAAGAAACCCACCAGCAGATCGCCTCCCCTAAGCCTCACATCAGTAGCTCTGCTTCAAAAAATTTCAAGGGCAATTCATGTATGTCCTCCTGCAAAAACCCCCATGCCAGATTAATGAGCAGACTTGAATGAGTTCAGGAGGAGTTTTCCCCATTCACCTTTTCCAAACTTACATTTTTCGAAAGTGGCACCCTGATTTTTGGGCCTCTTTGGCTTCTAGTTCTTGCCTGCTAGAAGCCCCATCTAAATACGATCTCCCCTCATGGCTTTGGAATCTGTTTGACAATGGTAGACACTTGAGCAGGACAGAATCCCAATTCCAAAAACCCAACAATCAGTACACCATCCCTGAAATCATGTGTACAAACAAGCATTTATGAAATTGATAATAACGCTTATAAATCCAGCTAAAATACCAACAGAATCCTATACACTGATTGAAAAAAAAGGTCAGAATTTTGGGGCAAATTTGACATGAAAGTGACCCATATGGGAATTTCAGCTAAAACCAATGAACAATGAACAACTAACAAAAACCATAAGACCCCAACGAAAAAAGAAGAAGATGCTTTTGTTTACCCGACTGAGTTCTGCTATGATAACAAGCACTCCTTTTGTTTTGTATTAATCTCAATGCTTTCAATGTTAAAAGCACAGAATCACCTGGTCCAAACCCCACCAAGAACACATTTCCCACCTACCCTTCTTTCCATCACCATCATTACAACAAGAAGGCTGCCTCTCTCTTTTTAAAGCACTTGAAGCAATTTCTTCAACTCTGGAAGCTTTAAAGCAGAGAGGTCGATTTGCTTTAATTCTCCGAAAGGCAAAACCAATCTAATAAACTCTCTCATTTTACAGGAAAAAAACTACCATATTTAACAATTTCACATATTATGAACACTATCCGATGCCGAGACCACGTCGGTTAATGGAATACTAGCTCTGCTCCAATCCCTGAAGCAGAGTCATGCCTGCACAGTAATAAGCAGAGAAATCACATTGTTGAACATACCTTTAGAAAACAAAGCTGTATGCCACCAAAAGCTTAACCAGTAAACACATCACATTGCATTCGATAGCTAACTTTAGTAACGTTTTGAATAAGAAACTTACCAGTGGATGACCTCTTTTAAGTCTCACAACTAGAACTCCTTCAGCAAAACTCAAAAGCATTCAGTTGTCTCCACCTGCAAAAACCCCATGCTGGAAACATTAAACAATTGTCGAATGAAATTCGAGAAGACTTTGGCCGCATAACCTTTTCCAAAACTCACATTTACAAAAGTGGCATCCTGATTTTTAGGCTCCTTTGACATCTAGTTCTGACCTGCCTCTTTCATCTAACCCATGAAAAAGCTGCTCTCACTTCATCCAGTGGGCTCTTCCCTTTGTCCAACTAAAAGCTAACAGAATCCTGTACGCCAATCAAAAGAAGGTTGGGATTATAATGATTTACATAAACTATCATTAGCAAGAATTTCATAAATTTCTATGCACAAGCAATAAGATTTCAACATAGATTTATCCAGAATTACAAACCATGCTTTGAAGATGAAAACATACAACACTAGAATCCTTGCCTTGGCGAGTGCTGGAAATGGACCATGTTAAATGCCTTCAAGATATTGCTCCTTGCCTGTGATTCAAAAGAGGCAGGAAAAGCTAATAAGAAAGTAAACCGAGACATAAATGAAGTATTCTTGATCTCAAGGAGAATATCACAAACACATACCTGTAGTGTGAGCTATTGAAATTAAATTCAGGACACCGAGACCTTATTTTTGTTACTGGAACTGACCCTTCGTCTGTAATCTCTGTCCAAGATCAACCCAGTTTGCCAATTTCTACAAATGAAACAGAAGCCAAGCAAAGGAAAAGGAATAGAAACAATGATGAGACAGAGCTAAAAGATGGAAGGGAAGGAAGAGAGATTTCAAATATCAGATAAGTGAATTGTGGTAGTTAAAGACACTACTGGGACAACATAAATGTTGGCCATGCTTTCTCTGATTGGATGTTAGCTAACACAACTCGAAAACTTTCAAGAATTAGGTGATTGAGCCAAAAATTGCCAGGAAGAAATTAGAGTCCACAAATAAAAACAAAACTTGTTTAAATAACCAATTGCTGGATAAGACGTATGTAAGAAACAGAAACATACCACAGAAATAATTATAGCAGTTCATCATCCCAGTGCTTCTCATCTAGTACAAGTTCAACAGCAAGGTTGCCACCTCCATTCACTGCATTCTTATAATCAAAATTAAAGCATCTAAACGCATTGTCCAGCATTCAGATTGTTACGTTATAAAGGATGTGAACTATCCAGGTGCATATTTACCTGATAGAGTATTGCCATAAAGGACCATCTTCCACCATTATCTCTATCGATGGCTTCAAAACTAGTCCGTACAACCTTTATAGAAAGAAAGGACCATCGGTATTGTTAGCAATGCAATTCATACAGCAAAGTTCAATAACTGATAGAACTAATCCACATCCTCAAATGATACTGATAATGATTGCTTTCAGTTTCTTAGCAGAGGAAATGATAAGTGGCGGACGGACCTACCAAGGCATCCACAGATGATTAAACTTTTATGGAGGTGGAGATGTTTCCTTAAAACGTCAGAGAGATGCACAAATTGAAGGTCTCTTGATTGATTGCTGCTCCTACCAGGACTTCAAATCAGGAAAAACATCAATTCCTTTAGGAAAAAATCTACTATGCTTATAGGATTGCATTGGAAGTATGTTTCTCCTGAAAATATAGCAGTCAAAATAATCACATAAAATATCATCATACTACGGATTTTCAAAGCCAAATTCAAAGAAGCAAATACCTGTCAGACGTCACAGCAATGGAGGATGGAGGTGTACTCTGTCGAGAATGGAGGCCTTGACTTTGTTGCAATGGATCTTCATTTACCATTTAAGTCTATAATTCAATTATAAAGGAATCAGTTATCATCAGCTTTGCAAGGAAAATGGACTGTATATATAAAATTTTGAAGAGAAAACCCACCTCAGGAAATTGATAGTCAGGATGGAGGTGTACTCTATAGAGAAGGAGGTGTGCTCTCTCTAGTCCTACAAAATTAATTGTGCAAGCAATTAATGAATGCAATGGAAAAGAAAGAAAGAAAGAAAGAAAGGCGATTAAATTGAACATAAAGAAATAAACACAATTTGCGAGAGACAGACAGATTTGAGAAATTCAAACTTACGTAGAAATAAATCTCTGGGATCTGAAAAATCTTGGGCCACTACCCTCTGCGCAATTTTGCTGAAGAAGCGGAGTTCCATCAATTGTCAGACTTGTTAAATTGGAGAGGCGTTGCATGGCTGTTGAACTTGGTAGATACTTCAGTTTTGGACACCTTTCAATATAGAGGGTTTGAAGAGAAGAAAGGTTTCCCAACCAATCTGGCAGTGCTTCCTCAAATTCCTCTCCACCGAAATACCTTATCTCCAATTTCTTGAGAGAAGTGAGGTGTTGAAGTTGATGTGGTATGCTCTTCAGTTTTCTCCATCCGCATATTTTTAGCTCTTCAAGGGACCCACTCAAGTGTTGGATTGAATTCATACCAGGAAACTCCTCCAATTCCATCCAGAAACCACCAATTGTCAATTCCTTCAATTGGGCGAGGCTGCAAAAGAAATCCTCCGGAAGATAGCTCAATCTCCAACAATCGTAAATTTGTAATCGGGCAAGAGAATGGAATTTTCTCCTTCCAAGAGAAGGAAGAGACGTGAGCTGATCTCAGTCAATAATTTTTAATGATTGAAGACGAGAAGATGGCAGCAATCCTCCTCCTCCAAATACATCATCATCCTCAAATACAGAAATATCCTTACTCCGTCTGATTATCAATTCCTCTAGAGATGGGCAGGATAGTAGCCTCCTAATTGGAAGACTAGTTGTTATTATCCAACAATCTTCAATGCGTACTCTTTTAAGAGATTGCAATCCACCGCCGAGACTAATAGACTCCAACTTCCTGCAGAAATCAATATACAATTCCTCCAGAGCTGTGCAGTGTTGTAGGCTTGGTACGGATGCCAGATCATAGCAATTATAGATGCTTAAATATTTAAGAGATGATGAAGTGGAGGCATGAAATTCGCCACATAAATGACTTAATCCAAGACAATCACTGATCTCCAATTTTATAAGTTTTGATGAAAGATGAGTCATTGATGGAATGCTTCTCAAGTCAAAACACCCCCCAATGTACAACTCTTCAAGGCAAGGAAATACTGCTTGGACTCCATCAGCTGCAGCAGCAGGTACCGTCCATTCCTCTAGACTTTCAATATCCTTCAGAGACAGTCTTTTCAATGCTGGAAACAAAGTTATAGGCATTCTTCTATCCTCACTACTACCATAAAACTCATTGCCTATGCTTCTTAACCGACCCATTGTTTCCACCACAACAATTCCAAGACGAGGAAGATGACCAAGTGCTGGAATGCTTTTCAAGTGAAGACACACCTTAATGTACAACTCTTCAAGGCAAGGAAATACCGCAGCTGCATCTCCTTCTCCTTCTCCACCTCCTCCTCTTCCTTGAGGTATCGTCCATTCAACTAGACTCCCCATTTTCACTAGAGATAGTCTTTTTAGTGCGGGAAATATTGGATCCATACCACTTCCGCCACTACTATAAAACTCCCTACCTATAACTTCCACACCATTCATTCCTTCTATCTCAACAATTTTAAGGTGAGAAAGATGTCCTAATGTTGGGAGTTGTTTACACTCATTGCACCCTTCTAATTTCAACACCACCAAATTATGGACTGCTGGATTCAAAAGCCATGGTGGGAATGAGTCACCTCCATAATTCTCAATCTTTAAGCTTCTTATGCTTGGATGAGGCTGGAGACCCTCCAATACATCTTCGTCATTATTGTACCTTCCTCTTTCTCTTCTTGACCTCCATTCCAGTACCACCGTGTTAATCTTTGCTTTTCCAGACAGGTTTGCTCCCTTGGCTTCTTCTCTGTCTCTCACATACTCCAGATTGCGTATTCTCAACTCCCCTCCTAGTTCCTTCAAGCACCCCAGCTCTTCAATTTTGTGACCTTTATCTGGACCCACTTCAAAGAATGGCAATGTTTGTAGACCAATTAAGCAACCGACATTAGCTGGTGTATCTGTAAAGTCAATATGTCTAATGCTCACCAAATTTCTCATTTTTTTGGGAAGTTTTGTGAGGGAGCTGCAACCTCTAAATCTTAATGTTTGCAAATGGAAGAGCTTCGTGATGGATTCTGGAAACGCTTTGATATCTGTATCTGAAACATCCAGATATCTCAAATGTTCCAGCCTGCAAATTGAACCTGGCAGCTCTGTGATATCAGCTCCATGCAAGTTTAGAGTTCGTAAGCCTTTGAATTTCCAAGCCTTGTTGAGGACATCGACCCTTGAGAATAAAGTATGCAATTTTCTAGCACCGACATTTCGAAACTCTGAGTCGTCTCCCTCGTAACAAATGACATTAAGATGACGAATACGAAATGTACCGTTTATAGCTGAACCAGCCTCCAAAATCAGTGTCTCTTGTTTTGACACCGACAAAGCAAGATCGTGCACAAGATCGTGCATCTTGCAACCCGTTATATTCTCAAACTCATTCTTTCGGACATCCTGGAAAAAAGAAAGTGCAAGCAGGCCATTAAAATACCTAGCACCTATTTCTTCCATATCTTCCATTCCTTCACGAGGTGGTCTAAGTAACCCTTCAGCCATCCATAGCTGAATTAGTTGCTCCTTTTCAATCTCAAAACCTTTAGGAAAAATGGAACAATAAGCGAAACAGCGTTGCAGACACGATGAAGACAAGTGATCGAAACTTAATTTCAATATAGGTAAAATTCCATCATATCTTGACGCGTCAAAAGCATCACTGTTTTGTATTGATAGCCATTTGTCCCTCTTCTTCTCAGAATGCAGCGTTCCACCTAAAACTCTAGCAGCTAATGGCACTCCTCCACACTTTTTTGCAAGATCTATTCCGATAGCCTCCAATTCTGCAGGAATCGGCTCCATTCCATTGCTAGTCACTATTTTCCTAATAATTGACCAACATCCATCATCTGATAGTTTTTCTGGTTCATGCCTATATCCAAGAGAACTCTCCATTATAGATGCTGCTCGTCCACTACGAGTCGTAACAATAACAGCATTCCCTCGATTCCTACTAATTTCAGCATTCCCATCATTGCAACTAATTTTTAACAAACGATCCTTTAAACTCTCCCACTTTCCAGGCTCTTCATTCCACACATCATCAAGAATGAGAAGATATTTTTTCTTCTCCAACGCTTTTTGAAGATGTGTCATTATTACGTTTATTTCATCTATCGCACCTGTGTTTCTATCCAGTGTTTGCAGCATTCCTCCTAAAATCCTTTTATCCTCAAAACTATCAGAAACACAAATCCAAAATGTTACATCAAAGAGTTCTCTATTTGTCACTTCTTGATGCACCATTTTTGCTAGAGTGGTCTTTCCAAGCCCGCCCATTCCCACTATAGGGATGACAGAAAGAACATGTTGGTTGCAAGAGCTAATCAACAAGTTAATAATTCTAGAGACATCACCATCCCTTCCTATGACAACCTCTGAGCTACCGAGGAAAGAATCTGTCTGTCGGTTCGGCCTAGGTTGAGGACTTGTATGTACAGGCAGGACTCCAAGTGTAATTGCATCTTTATTAAGCTTATCTAAGGACTCATTTATCTTTTGAACTTTTAGAGCCATACTCAGACGAAATGCAATGGGGTTGGAGTGGGAGAAGAAGCTGTGTACCTTCCCTTTGAGACTGTTTTGAATCTCTACCTTCTGTCGAAGAATCTCGTAATCAAACTCATCTAGTACATCTTCAGCATCATAAGCTACATCTCGAAGCTTCTCCAACCAAAGCCTCACGGACTCATCTGTTACTGGTCTTTTCTTGGCATCTTGTAACACTGCCTGAATCATGAGCAACGAATCCTTCAGCTTTTCCAGCTCTCCTTTAAATCCCCATGCAAGACTGATCCCTTGAGCAGCAATTAAACCAAGCCGCTTCACTATCTCCTCCGTCGCCAATGAAAGGACTAGCTCAGCCATTTTTGTTTGTTTTAGTTAAGTACTGAGAAGAGAGAAATGGTTTGAAAGTTTTGTAAATAATATAGGTAAAATGAATTTGTTGTGAGTTTTGTGCGTAAAAATAAAAACTCGTAGATTCCTTTACTTGTGCCTTGTCCATGTGCAGTCCATGCGCTTTGTTTGGGTTTTTACCTCATTCTCCACTTGCACTAACGAAGCCAAAGTGTTGTTTGTTAACATTATAAATAAATAAATCTCCGCTTGCACTACTAAGCCTTTTACTTGGCTCAAGAAAGGCGTTGTATCCAAGTGCATAGCATGTGACTGATGCATAAATCTAGAAGAGATTAACCAACCAGCTGAAGAGGATTTGCCTTTTAATTACTTTGTTTAATTAATTAATTAATGGGACAAGCGTAAAGTCCATTGAGCCTCAGGCACAGAACAAATCAAATGGTCGGTTCTAAAAAGTTAATTAAAAACAGTACCTGTCGATATTGATGTAAGTTCGAAATAGTAGTAATTGATTTGTTCAAAAAAAAAATCCATTAAATTGTCTCTTGAGTTCCCTTGATTCATCGTTGTATGGTATATTGCATTGTATATTAAAAATCTGTACAAGCTAGTTTAGAAGAGAAAAACAGAAAAAAGTGGATGTGAATGACATGATGAGGTTTACTAAACCAAGGATTGTTTAAAACAAAAAAAAAAAAACTAAACAATTAGTTTTTGAAATAAAAAAATACTAATTGATTCATTTTTTAAAACAAAAAGAAATAATTTTTAATTTACTCTACATTGATCTGATCACTACATTTGGTTATCTAATCATTAAAATTTCTTTTTATCTTAAAATTTTTAATTAAAAAAATCAGAGAAAAAAAAAGCAAGGACCAAAGTAAATAAAATGAAACAAAAAGTGGGACCAAAATCAAATAAAAACTATTTATGAATTAAAAAAAAAATATTTAAAACCAAAAATTTGCTGTCTCTTAATGTCTGAAACCGGTGCTTCCAACCCATCCTCTTCTACTGACCATGTCTGCAATCTTCCATTGCCACACATTCTACTAAATACTAAAAGATCAACGAACTTACAAGCTCGTTTTACTGTTTATTTAAATGGTAAAATTTAATTTAATTTAATTTTTTTTTTTTTTATAGCCAAGGCCATCTTTTTTTTTTTTTTCCTTCTACTTTCTGTAGCCAAAGCCCTCTTTTGGCTTTTGGTAAACTTTTTTTTTTATTTCTTATAATGGTATTTTCGTGATTTCCTTATAGCCAAGGCCCTCTTTGATTCAAAAAATAATTATTATTTTTTCCTTTTTGCTATAAAAAAGGTTCTATTTTTTGTTTTAATAAATAGAGAAAGAATAAAAAAAATAACTAAAAATATGAAAAAAATACATATACATATATATATATATTAGAAATTAATTATGTATCTATATACATAACACTAATTATTTATAACTTATCATTGAAAAAATATTAATTTCTAAAATTAATATTTTTAAATAAAATAATTAAAATATATATCGCTAGTTTTGTTATAAATTAATTATCTATCTACACACATAACCCCGAGTGTTTATTATTTTTTTATGTTTTAAAATCAATTTACATTAATTATGAAAAATAAATTTTTTTTTATATTACACTATATAAATAATTGACTTTATATATACGATTGTCTAACCACATAACGCTGATAATCAAACTCATTGCATCTATTTCCGTATCGCCGCTTTCCCACCAAACAACCATAAAGCTAGTTCAATTGGCTGATGCCAGGGTTGGAAATGCTGCTCCTCTTTACTGACTGGGTGCATGAGTTAAATACTATAAGCGCCCGTCTGATCGGTAGTTATAATTCTCAGGCTGCTATGCTGGGGTTGGTTGCTTACTGAGGCAGCCCTCTACATCAGCGTAGAAGATAGCTGGTATAAGCAAGTTGTTTTGTTGTAATGATTCTACTGGTTGTATTATGTGAGATGGTTATGAGGAGGAATAATGGATAAACAACAACCACACAACACCAGTGCACATGATATTTTACGTGGTTCGGTATTTAATACCTAATCCACGGGCGAGAAAGATCGGAGACTTTTACTATGAGAAAATGGCAGGAGAATACAAAAGGTAACTCAAATTGCTCTCACCCAAATCCCATATGGACCCAGAACCTCACTTGAAATTTATCACAGAAATCTCAACGGTATAAAGAGTAGTATACCCATGACTAAGCTCCTCAATTAAACGCTCTGTTTTGGTTTCGGATACACTATATGCCTTCCATATGCAAATAACTGCACCACATGTGTAGTCCCAGAAACGGGACAAAAGGCTTAAATTTTTCAGCCACCAATGCTGACCTTTAGGACCAAAGACAATCACCTTGTGGAAACTTTTCTTTCTTTGACAAACTGTACCAACCAATTTCAGCTTTCACCTTTTCTTCATGCATTTGATAGTTGCAGCTTTCCTTCGTTCCTAGCATGAATCTAGGTGTTTAGGACTCATGTACAAGCAAACGAAGTGTCAAGTCCACCAACTTCAAGCATTTAATGCAGTCCTCAACAACATCCTTCCTAACGATGACCAGCGTTGCCGAAACAAACTCTACCAGTGCCACTTTATCTGTAGGATCCTCCAGTTCTGAAAGACCTGTACGATTGCAAATGCAACTATTATCAATTCAAAGCAATGAGGTCACTTCTAATGGGCAAGCTTCTTGTGCATGTATAGATCCTTGAAAAAAATGAAGTGACATCAAAACCAATCCCTTCTTTTCTTTTTACAAACTATGTGAAGGAAATGAAAATTGGTGTTTCAGTTCTGTTTTTGGTTTCTGCAAGGTGCTTCCAATTATGATTATCAAATCATACTCACCAAGTGGTCCCGGGGTGTAGTCGCATATTCAAGCAGCTGGAGTATTTGCTCATAGACCATTTTGCATCAACTTCAAAGCAAAGGAGTGGAGGGTTGACATTTGACAAGGTAGCCCATCTAAACTACCAAGGTTGAATCAGGATCAGCTGTATTTTCTGCTAAAAAGAGGGCATCTGTTCCTCCTTTGATTGAATTCCCTGTTTGAAATCTAACACTACTGGCTGTACCTCGTTGAGGTAATGGAATCTCCAGCTCTGCTGCAACCAATCACACTGCCATCCATACAGTGATAAAAAAAAAAGCATCAGGCTTGAAGAAGAACTGCAAAGGTGGCAACTATAGGGGAAAAAGAACGCAAACTTATTCTACTAGGAGATGAGCAGAGCCATACAAGCAATAACATTAACTTGAATTCTTTGCTGTTGAAGAAAATCCATTTCCTCATCACCCCTTCCAAATACCTTTGGAACACAAAAATATGTGTCACCAAAAACCCAATTAGAAAGCACATAACATTATTGCATTCATTAGCTAACCTTTTAAATAAAGAACCCACCAGCAGATCGCCTCCTTTAAGCCTTCCGTCAGTAGCTACACTTCAGAAAATTTCAGGAGAAGTTCATGTATCTCCCCCTGCAAAAAAACCCCATGCCAAATTAATGAGCAGACTCGAACGAATTCAGGAATAGTCTTCCCCATTCACCTTTTCCAAACTCACATTTTCCGAAAATGGCACCCCTGACTTTTGGGCCTCTTTCGCATCTAGTTCTCGCCTGCTTCTTTCAACTAACCCATGGCCAAAAGCTGCTCTGTCTCTATCCAGTCCGAGTCTGCTACATTAGAGTTAATCTTCCCTTTGTCCTCGATGGCCTCAAATGCTTTCACTTGGTTCGATAGTAACTCCATCTAAATAGGATCGCACCTCATGGCTTTAGAAGTTGTCGGACCATGATATACACTGAAGTAGGACAGAACCCCAGTTCCAAAAACCCATGAATCAGTACACCACCCTTGAAATCACATGTATAAACAAGCATTTATCACATGGATAACCAAGATTATAAATCCAGCTAAACAATCAATTACAAAATTAGAAACATATTTGACATGAAAGGGACCCACATGGGAATTTCAGCTAAAGTCAATAAACATTGAACAGATAACAAAAACAAATAAAAGAGAACTCTTAAAAAAAAAAAAAGATGTTTTTGTTTACCTAACTGAGTTCTGCTATGGTACCAAGCACTCCTTATGTTTTGTATCAATCTCACTGCTTTCAATGTCAAAAGCTCAGGATCAACCGGTCCCATCCTGACCAAGAACACAGTTCCAGCCCACACTTCTTTCCATCACCATCATTATGACAATAAAACTGCCTCTCTCTTCTTAAAGCACATGAAGCAATTTCTTCAACTTTGGAAGCTTTAAAGCTATGTGGTTTGGCCTGATACACTCTGATGTCAGGGAGCTTGATTTTCTTGAAGAAGATTCCCATAGTTAGTTCCCGTAGAGCCACTAGTCTCCTTGGCATCTCTCCATTGAATATTTCTCTGTAAAAGCTTTTTTTTTTTTAATTATTATTGTTAAGAGCTGAAGTAGTAAAAGTGCCAAATCCCTTATGATACAGAAATGCCAAATAATATTTTACTACACTTTCTGAAGGACATAAGATGCTTTACTAATATTTTCAATAAGAAACTTACCCACGGATGACCTCGTTTAAGTCTCACAACAGGAAATCATTTCAGGTATCTCCTCCTGCAAAAACCCCATGCTGGATTGATGAGCGGAGCTTTGCACTGGTAAACAGAAACATTACTAATTGTTGAACAAACTCAAGAAGACTTTGCCCACTTAACCTTTTCCCGAACTCACAATTCCAAAAGTCGCACCCAGGTTTTTAGGCTCCTTTGACATCAAGCTCTGACCTGCCTCTTTCAGCTAACCCATGACCAAAAGCTGCTCACTTCATCCAGTAGGCTCTTCCCTTTGTCCAACTAAAAACTAACATAATCCTATACACCAATTAAAAGAAGGTTAGGAATTATAATGATTAACATAAATTACCATTTGCAAGAATTTCATAAATTCCTATGCCTTGAAGATGAAAACATACGACACCAGAATCCATGCCTTGCAAGTGCTGGAAATGGAACACGTTAATTGCCTTCAAGATGCTGGCCCTTTACTGCAATTAGCTCCTTGCCTGTGATTCAAAATGGACAAGAAAAGCCAATAAGAAAGTAAACTGAAACATAAAAGAAGTATTCTTGACCTCAAAGAGAATATCACAAACGCATACCTGTAGTGTGAGATATCGAAATTAAATGCAAGACACCGAGACCTTATCATTGTTACGGGAACTGAACCTTATCTCTGTCCAAGATCTGCCAATCTCTATAAATTAAACCAAAGCCAAGAGAAGGAAAAGGAATAGAAACAATGATGGGACAGAGCTATAAGATGGACAGGAAGGAAGAGAGATTTCAAATACTAGATAAGTAAATTGCGATAGTTAAACACGCAACTAGGACAACCTAAATGGTTAAAAGTCATGCTTTCTCTGATTGGATGTTAGGTAACACAACTCGAAAACTTTCAAGAATTAAGTGATCGAGCCAAAAGTTATTTAAATAACCAATTGCTAGATAAGACGTACGTAAGAAAAAGAAACATACCACAGAAATAATTGTAGCAGTTCATCATCCTAATGCTTCTCATCTAGTACAAGTACAGCTGCAAGATTGTCACCTCCATCCACTGCATTCCTCCAATAAAAATTAAAGCATCTGAACTAATTGTCCAGTATTCAGATTGTTATTTTATTAAGGATATGAAAATTGAAGTAACTTTCTTGGTGCATATTTACCTTACAGAATTATTGCCATAAAGGACCATCTTCCACCATTTTCTCTAACCATGGCTTCAAAACTATTCCATACAACCTTTACTGAAAGAAAGGACCACAGGTATTGTTAGCAATGCAATTAATACAGCAACGTTCAAGAACTGTTAGAACTAATCCACATCATCAAATGATACTAGTAATGATTGCTTGCAGTTTGTTAACATAGGAAACGATCAGTGGCTTGGAGAGACCTACCAAAACATTCACAGATAATTAAACTTTTGTGGAGGTGGAGATGTTTCCTTAAAATTCCAGGACTTCAAATAAGATGAAACATCAACTCTGTCTGGAAAAAAATCTAGTACACTTATCGGATTCAAAGTATGTTTCTCCTGAAAATACGGTAGTAGTCATAATCATCACATAAAATGTCACCATAACTACTAAGAAGATGGATTTTCAAAGGAAGATGCAAATACCCTGTAGAGTCAGACGTCAAAGCAATGGAGGATGGGGTTGTACTCTACAGCATGAACGCCTTGACTTCATTGCACTGGATCTTCATTTACCATTTCTGCGCTAGAGATGGGGTTGTACTCTGTAAAGCATGAACGCCTTTACTTCATTGCACTGGATCTTCATTTACCATTTCTGCTAAAGATTAAACCCGCCAAAAATAAAAATTCTGATAAACGGAAAAACGAAACAAAAAAAATATATATATATGGTTCTGTCCGTATAAATCTAAAGTTTGAAGAGAAAACCCACCAGAGGAAATTGATAGTCAGATTGTGACCCACCCACGCGCCTTTGCTATTTCTTTAACTGTAGGGTTGTCCTACAAAATTAGTTGTGCACGCAATTAATGAATGTAATGGAAAGAAAGAAAGAAAGGCAATGAAATTTAACATAAAGAAATTAACATAATTGGAGACAGATAGATCGATTTGAGAAATTCAAACTTACAGGTAAATAAATTTGGGATGTGAGAAATCTTGGGCCACTCAGAGCCACAACCCTCGGCGCAATTTTGCTTAAGAAGCGAAGTTCCAGGACCAATTTCCAGAGTTGTTAATTTGGAGAGGCGTTGCATGGCTATTGAACTTGGTAGATACTTCACATTTGGACACCGACCAATAGAAAGGTTTTCAAGAGAAGGAAGGTTTCCCAACCAATCTGGCAATACTTCCTCAAATTCCTCTCCATTGAAATACCTTATCTCCAATTTCTTAAGAGAAGTGAGGTGTTGAAGTTGATGTGGTATGCTCTTCAGTTTTTCCCATCCGATAATTGCTAGCTCTTCAAGAGACCCACTCAAGTGTTGGATTGAATTCATGCCAGGAAACGCCTCCAATTCCTCTGAGAAACCACCAATTCTCAACTCCTTCAATTGGGTGAGGCTGCAAAAGAAATCCTTCGGAAGATATCTCAAATTCCGACACTCATAGATTTTTAATCGAACAAGAGAATGCAATCTTCTTCTATATAAACCATCAGGAACAGACGTGAGCATATCACACCCTTGAATTTGCAATGATTGAAGACGAGAAGATGGCAGCATTTCTCCTCCTCCAAATACATCATCATCATCATCCTCAAAAAAGAAGATACAATCCACAGAGTCTTTGATTATCAATTCCTCTAGAGATGGGCAGGATAGTAGCCTCCTCATTGGAAGACTAGTTATTCTCTTACAAGCCCAAATGCTTACTCTTTTAAGAGATTGCAATTCACCACCAAGAACAATAGACACCAACCTAGGGCACCAATCAATATACAATTCCTCCAGAGTTGTGCAGTGTTGTAGGCTTGGTACGGATGCCAGATTACGGCAATCACTAATGCTTAAATATTTCAGAGTTGATGGCGTGGAGGCATGAAATTTGCCATATAATTCACTCAATTCATCACAATTACTGATATACAATTTCACAAGTTTTGATGAAAGATGAGTCATGGATGGAATGCTTTTCAACTCGTAACACTTGTGAAGGTACAACTCTTCGAGGCAAGGAAATTGTGCTGGTACTCCATCGGCTGCAGCAGCAGGTACCATCCATTCCTCTAGACTCCTCATATACTTGAGAGACAATCTTTTTAATGCTGGAAACAAAGTTGCAGGCATTCTTCTATAAAACTCGTTGCCTATACTACTTACACAATCCATTCTTTCCATGGCGACAATTTCAAGACAAGGAAGATGACCAAGTGCTGGAATGCTGTTCAACTGACGACACTCCTCAATGTATAACTCTTCAAGGCAGGGTAACACCACAGCTGCATCTTCTTCTCCTTCTCCACCTGCTGCTCCTGGAGGCATCATCCACTCAACTAGACTCTTCATTTTCACTAGGGACAATCTTTTTAGTGCTGGAAACATTGGATCCATACTACTTCCACCACTACTATAAAACTCCACACCTATAACTTCCACACCATTCATTCTTTCTATCTCAACAATTTTAAGATGAGAAAGATGTCCTAACGTTGGAAGTCGTTTACACTCATTGCAGCCTTCTAATTTCAACACCACCAAATTATGGACTGCTGGAATCAAAAGCCATGGTGGGAAAGAGTCACCTCCATAATTCTCAATCTTTAAGCTTCTCACGTTTGGATGAGGCTGGAGACCTTCCAATACATCCTCGTCATTCATGTTGTAGCTGCTGCTTTCCCTAAATGAACTCCATTCCAGTACCAGTGCGTTAATCTTTGCTTTTGCAAACAGGTTTGCTCCCTTGGCTTCTTCTTTGTCTCTCACGTACTCCAAATTGCGTATTCTCAACTCCCCTCATAGTTCCTTCAAGAACCCCAGCTCGTCAATTTTGTGGCCTTTAGGCAGACCCACTCCAAAGAATGGCAATGTTCGTAGACCAATTAAGCAACCGACATTAGCTGGTGTATCTGTAAAGTCAATATGTCTCAAGCTCACCAAATTTCTCATTTTTTTGGGGAGCTTTGTGAGGGGCGGCCAGCCAGCTGATCTAAATCTTAAGGTTTGCAAATGGTAGAGCTTCGTGATGGATTCTGGAAACTCTTTGATACGTGTATCTGAAACATCCAGATATCTCAAATGTTCCAGCATGCAAATTGAACCTGGCAGCTCTCCAACGGCAAAACCATGCAATTTTAGAGTTCGCAAGCTTTTGAATTTCCAGGACTTGTTGAGGACATCGACCTTTGAGAATAACGTGTGCAATTTTTTAGCAACTACTTTTCCAAATTCTGATTCTCTCTCATAAGGAATGACATTTAGATGACGAATACGAGATGTACAGTCTATAGCTGAACCAGCCTCCAAAATCATTGTCTCTGGTTTTGATATTGACAAAGCAAGATCATGCACAAGATCGTGCATCTTGCAACCCGTTATATTCTCAAACTCATTCCTTCGGACATCTTGAAAAAGAGAAAGAGCAATCAGGTCACTAAAATACCTAGCTCCGATTTCTTCCATATCCTCCATTCTTTCTTGAGATGGCCTAAGTAACCCTTCAGCCATCCATAGCTGAATTAGTTGCTGCTTCTCAATCGGAAAATCTTTAGGAAAAATGGAACAATAAGCAAAACAGCGTTGCAGAGACGGTGAAGACAAGTGATCGAAACTTAATTTCAATATAGGTAAAATTCCATCATGTCTTGACGCGTCAAATGCATCACTGTTTTTTATCGATAACCATTTC